AAAACACAATACGTCTTTGGAAAAAATCATTATATCAAAACGCTTTAAATCTAGTTTAAACAAATAGTTTTAAGAACATATGGAATATTTCAAAATTCCTGATATATTCAATGAGAACAAGCAATTGTCTTAATCAATGCACTCACGATATTCATAACAATTCAATTACTAACTAATACCTGATATACACAACCTCGTACTTTACAAATTAAAATTCAATATCGTAAATCTGCATTCAAAAACGAGTTTGCTGAAAAAGGAATTTAATATTCATAGTCAGTAGGCAAATTGAGTTGGGGCCAATGAAAAACCAATTTGAAGAGATCGATTCCTTGTACGATAGTAAACGCAAGTTAAACTCAGTTTAATGTTACTGTCGCGCCATTAAGCAGCCTCCATAAAACGCCACTTATTGTCCCATGAATATTTTACGGAGCTTTTTTCTTATTTACTCATCCCCAAACTCTATAAAGAAGTTACTGATGTATAAAAAACAAGGTTTTTTAAATTAGACGTAAATTTTACAACGTGTATATGGCAACGACCAGCTGTGAAGCGTGAACCATCAAATGAAATGGGAGTAAAAATCAGTACCACACATATACGAATTTGTTATTTTCTACACATAAAATGATAGCTAAATACATAATCGGAATCAACTCCCGGTGGGGGTCTACCCTGAGAGATACTATACTATTCTATACTATTCAAAGTTAGAGTGTACTCCTGCTTCAAAGGCCGGCAAAGCACCCACTAAAATACCCTTTACGGGCGTACCGTAGGCTCGTTTGCAACCCTATTAAACAAAAAAAAAAAAAAAACAACTACGCCATAGACTACATAATACATGTGTCGGCTGATGCTAAACATTAGTTATTTTATTAACACGACATTTTGTTTCAGAAAGAAGAAAAAAAAACATTATACATAATAGAATGGATATTTAGGTAAAAAGAAAGTCCCTGTGTCATGGGCACTCTTTTCCTTTTGTTAAAGGTACTTGACAATAATTTCTACCTAACACTTACATTTAATAATTAAACAATCAGAATATTTTCTATTTCAGTGTAAGACATGTTGCGGAGATGTTGTTTCAGATGAAAGGGCCTCTGAAGGAAACAGAGGCGATTCTTAGGTAGCGTATATGTGAGTTTGCGTTGTGAATGATATGGTGTGATGTGTTTGTTTCTCAAGCTTGCCTATTAAGTTTTCTAACCGTTAAAAGATTTGTTTCATTGTAAAATTTTGAAGTTAAGCCGCGAACATTCTATTCTATTCATTCATTCTAGAACATTCTATCTCAAGAACGGCGCGTTGGGCACGCTTTATTTTCATCATAGAAGACGATGCCGCTCCACTCCATACCGATATGCAGTATGATAAAATCTACTGGTAATGTGGATTAGAAGGTTTTTTTATATGTCAAATGAAGCGTAGACTTTCTTGCCAGCTATTCGCCTTTGTTTTGAATTACATAGTTATCAATATGAATAAATTAGTTTATTTATGTAAAATCTTTTATAAGGACATCGAAGGGACTACTCATATTTGGTCGTAAAAACCGATAGTCGTAACAGCCGATGACGTTGTTATTAAGTAGGTACCTAATGCATAGAATTCAGCCGGGACCTTTGATTTTGGTCAATATTACCGGTATGTTGTGCCAAACGATGTCATCGTAAACGGTTTTGACTATTTATTTATAAAAGCTTGCCCGGCACACTGACATTGATACAATAAAATAAAATATAATTTTGAATGTGACAAGCACTCATAGACAAACATAACGTACAAGAAATAATAAAAATAAATTAAACAAAATTATGAAAATTTAACGAAAATCGATTTTAAAGTGTGAGGGGAGCAACTATGGATATTCAAAGCCAGCTCGTTTATCGGAGTGTTCAATCTGGACATCGTTAAGTTTTGGCCAAAACGCGTTCTCCGGAATGCGGGGACAAATGGAATGATGGGATGCCTGGGTGATCTAGAGGGTACACGATTTTAATTTTTTTCGTTAAAAGGTTGAGACAATCGACCTGATTGTTAAATAATTTAAATGCAAACGATATATCAATTAATTTTCTACGATTCTCCAATGACAACTTAAAGCGCTAGCCTAGTTCGGTATGTTGGCAACATTTTATTCGAGATGTCACTGCAGTCGTAACATATGCGTCGCATAGTGCGGCTAGTTTGATTTTCATATTACTACATGTCGATTACAACATAAGTATATCAAGTAGACAAATAAAACTGCGTAGTACTGGGATATATTTATATAATTTCCCTCGCCAATTATACAAGTCAACATTTCCTTTGACTTTAGCAAATATATAAACTATGCCCCAAACAGGCAAATGAGTGGAACGTTGCTATTGGCAACTGGTCGCCTCATTTAGCCGGTATTTCATTTCAGTCTGCAACTCTTGACGAGGGCTGAAGTGACCCCATACATAACCGTCATAAAATACCGCCGAGCTAATCCAAATTAAATCTTAAAGCTACAGCATTAATGTTCAAATCGAATGACACCCAAACTTTGCCGAACCACCTTCAAACAATTAAACATGTATTAACTACTGTGCAATGTAATTCAAATTTTAATACAAACGAATTAGGATTCATTCTCGTTATATCGATATTGGATTAATAACAAATATATCTCTTATCTGTGAAACTGGTTATAAATTAAAGTTCCAAATGTGGTTTCAAACAAACATGATTCAATACAATATGTATGGAATTTCCTAAAAGCTTCCTTAGAGAAAATTAAATTTTCACAGGTGACGTATTTTTTTCAATAAATCAGTACATACTGTCAAAGTTAATCATCTGGAAACTGTTTCCCATTCAGAATGCTGAAATTTATAAAGACCCAGGGAGGTGGCTATTAAATAATGACCCGCTGGTCCCACTAAATATTGCCCCCTATTCCTATTATTCACAAGACATGAGGGGGAGTTGGGAGATCTATATAAATTGGTGGAGGGTGACAACGTTGTGCTCATTCAACCTTTATTTCCGCGTGATTTGACGTGTCAATGCAAGCCTTGTATAGCAGATAAGGTATAATACAGTAGCTAAATAGAAATAGTAAGGAATATAATTTGGTGTGGGATTAATTTTAAAAGAATACTGGACCGTATGATCTTTAATTTTCACATTTAGGTGCAACGTCTTTGTTAACAGTGCAACAGTTTGATTCTGGCTCATGGTATCGCAAATAACCTTGGCTTTCGATGTCGCATGCTTTTATAAACATTACTTAAAACTATTTTAATTATTTTTAAAAATTAAATTGATTATTTTTCCTTTCTTCCAATTGAATTGACACAGTTGGGCATTGGCACAGCATTCATATTTATAATATACTAACGGACCCGACAGACGTTGTCCTGCATGATATTTCAAGCGATTGGGATATTAAACAAAGTTGAAGGTACCATAATACAGTAAACCATCTAGGGCTCCACCCAAACGCATACAAAAAACAATATTCAAATCGGTCCAGCCGTTATTAGAGGAGTTCAATGACATACACATTACACACGTACAGTAGAAATATATATTTATGTGTGTTAGCTATCCTATCTTGTAAGTTAGATCAAACTGCTCACGGTGTGCAAATTTGATTGAAATCGGTTTAGTAGTTTAGGAGTCCATAGCGAACAAACAACGTGACGCGTAATCTATATATATAAAAGAAAAATGGTCTTCGTTTGAGGCTCCTTCACGCCTAAACCACTGACCGTATCGACATGAAACTACCACCATTCGATGCGAAATTTTTCCTAGATGGTTTATGTCTATTTATTTATTAAATTCCAACGTTCAACATTTTTTTATTGCTGTTTCACTTTTATGAAAATTTATCCATACGGACTTCACCGCGGAAACATTCGGGGAGGCTTCCTAGAACCTCTAAACGTCCACATCTGTTAAAAACTCGATTTTCGAAATATTTCAATTTTCTTAGCGGGAAGTTAAAAAGAAGAATAATAAAAATATGAAAAAAAATTAAAATAATGAAACATAAAATTTATTTTAATTCGTCCAGCAAAGCGGGCGCGAAACGGCTAGTTTTTATATATATTAAGATTTACTTTATGCGTTACACAAAAAAAATTTTTATAGACGACCTTTGGACGATAAAATAGGCCTTGAATAACTTATAAGTGTTTATTTAATATGTCTGATGTATTATTAAAAATAAATCCCTTTTACTTTGTATAAAAACTTTGGTAAGACGAATATAGCTGTTGTAGACGGGAGGAAAGATTAACATGCTTGGATCTGGCAGTCCGGAACTAATGCAGACGCGTAATACAAAATATATTTCATAAAACCGACTCACGACTCGAGCTAATATTTCCCGCTAAGCCTTAAATATACGAAAACTCTCGATAGAACTGTAATATCTACAAAATATAAAATCTTTTACTACGATCTGAAATGATGCTTTAAAATGGTCTGCACAAAGCTATAAGCTTGATTAAGTTAAAGAATCTTTTGTGTTATATGAACCATTACTTTGGGATAATGTAGTTTTAAGATATGAAATAATTATATAAAAAAATATCCTAAGTTTTACTTCGGTCCAGGAGTTGTTAAACTTATTCTCTACGAACATACACAACTTTTTTCTTGATAATATCAGTAGATATATATATAGGCCAATTCAATTTTTTGAGGTTTATAGTATACTTTGAAAAGTATATCTTAGGATGTATGAAAGATAATATTTTTTTGATGATAATGTAATAATGATTTGATGATAGATCAACTGCAAAATAGCCACAATAAAGGGAATTAAATGAAAAAGTGAAAATGCATCAAAATATAATTGCACTCATTAGACTCTAGATATCATAATACCACAATAAGTTATCCTTAGGAACTATACGATTTACAAACTATTTGACTACTTTGTTTTCTATAGTTTGTTATTGAGATCCTTCAGATTCATAATTCTCTAACTAATATATGTACTAAAGATTTTACACACATTTCAAGTAAACGTCTACTGTATCGGAAACATTTGTTGTGCTCACAAATTTACTACGTAATTGCGGTTTTATATCGACACACATATTTTTTATCGATTCGTCAAAATTCAAGAATAAAACAGGACATGTCCGTTTCTCCACATCCCCCGCAACAGACATAAGATTTGATGCAACTGTAAGATCAATATTTTCAAGATTAGTTCCATCAATTACAATGTATGAATCTGTAGCAACAGTACGAGCCGCACGTATTATTGTTTTTCTAATTTGTTCAGAAGCGCAGTACGAAATGGTATAATTTAAAGGGACCACAATCAAATCAGCTGTTGCAATTTTTAAAACGTAAAAATCAACAGTTGGGCGAGCTTTTCCGTACAAGACCATGAGTGCGTCAAATAACACACCGGTCACTATCCCATACTCCAAACCCACTCCTAAACATACACCAACAGTTGCAACCAAAACGCACAGCTCTCTCTTACTATGTCTCCACAACTTCCCAAATATTTTATAGTCAACCATTGCAAACATTGCAGAAATAACAAGTCCAGCTAATGATGCTTTAGGTATGTAATAGAAGGTTGTTGTTAACGTTGTCAATGATAAAATGACAAGCAAACAGTTAAATATCCCTCCAGCAGTGGTGCGGACACCAGAAGCATTGTTTAAGGCAGTTTTTGTAAAGGAACCTGTGATTGGCATACTGTTTACACACGATGACGCGATATTGCACAAACCTAGAGCAATCATTTCTTGATTAGAATCTACTTGTAATCCGTTCGAAAAGGCTTTAGCAATAGCTACTGCTTCTAAAGTTGACACTAACGGTATAATGAAGGATTTCGGTCCGAATACTCCGAGCATGTCTGTAAAACTGTAAGTCTCATTACCGACTGTAGTGCTAAAAGGGGGTAATCCTGGAATAGGTAAACCTCTGCTGATTGCACCAACTAATATAAGAGGCTCCTCGTGTGTGATTTGTTTAATAACAAATGCAATCATAATTCCAATGACGACAACGACAGCATTTCTACTCAGTGATAAATACCATCTAGTTTTTTGTAATATTCCACCAGTATTAGAACATCCTAGTCCGATCCGTTTAAGTAACATTATACCAAAAATTGTTCCAAACCCAAGGACAGGATCCCATAGCCTAGCAGTTTTTATATTTTCAAAAAAATATACAACTGATTGGGCGAAATAGTTACCAGCTGAACCTTTCAAACCGAATAAAGATTTAAATTGGGAAGCTGCTATTTGCAATGCTGCGGCTGTAGAGAATCCACTTATGACAGGCATCGATATAAATTCCACAAGAAATCCGAAATTAAAAGCTCCCATCAAAAATTCTACTAATCCTGCCAAAAATGTCGCTAATACTGCAAAGTCAGGAGAATAGTCAACGTATTGGCTGATCATCGCTGCTATAATTGCCGTAGGTCCAACTGTGATATCTTTAACACTTCCAAATATCACGTACACAAAACCTCCCAGTAACCCTGAATTGAGACCGTATTCTGGAGAAAGTCCTGCTATGAGGGCATTGGCGATGCCTTGAGGAATAGCCGTTAGACCCACAGTTATTCCTGCTATTATATCCTGTATAAGAGCACCAAAACTGTATTTTGGAAGCCATTGTATTATAGGTAATTTTCGTTCAATTGCTTTTTTACTGCACACTTTTTTTATAGACTTCTTCAATCTTCTTCTGATACGTGGTTCATCTTTACTATGAATGTTATCGAGCGCAGTCATAGCTCCGATTGAAGCGAGCTCTGATACAATACTAAGTTCTTTGAACTACTTTGTTGAGAAACAATTTATACAATTTTTTAACCAGTCAAGTGTGACTCGTAAAACGCTCTACAAATTCCGTACTTTCTCTATATATCGTACTTGTATTTAATAATTAAAACACAGACACAAATTAACTTGTTTTAATTTTTTTGTTCAAATAAAAGAGATTTAATTAATACACATTCATTTTGTGGATATCGATAAAAAATATCTATTACAATGCTAAATATATTTATTTATTTACACTTCGTTACCTTAAACAAAAACATACATATAAAAAGCAGGTTACATAAGTTATTAGGCAACGGGCGCCCATATCACTAACAAGCGATTTCTTCCAGGCAACCCTAGTATGGAACAAAAAACCACCTACAGAGGGTAAAGTGAAATATGTGCATAAATAATTAACAAAAAAGAACATGTAACATGAACTGTAACTAAAATAAAGTAAAATCTACAAAAAATATAAATAAAAATGTAAATGGTAATCCTAGGTATAAATGAGTCACAATTAATATAAATAAGTAGCTAATTTGTAATTACTAAATATATATATTTGTAGTAATTACAAATTATAATAAATCCGTGTGCAATAAACTAACCAACGTGGTGACGCGGCGGTGAAAAACTTTTAGTAGGTACAGATATTTGATTGACAAATGACCTTCAAAATCGTCTTTGATGATTTTATATAGAGGCTGATAGAGTCTTAAATATAATCCTTGAGCGCACGGCTATTATTGAACAAATTTATAAAATGTTATTTATAAGAACGAATTAATAAACCTATTATATTGTACGTCTAATTTTATTTCACCGTATTTTAAGATAATTAATAATTCGCAGATTCCTTTGCAACAGAACCCTAATTAGTGACATTATCAAGAAGAATGTCAGACAGTTCAATCCCAAGGAGATTGTGTGAAGATAATGTTGTTTCGATAATAAAACAAATGACTTTATCAGTACACACAAGCACGTAGAAGTGAACACTACTGTTTTATTGATAAACTTACAAAATAGTTGAATTTTTTGGGATTGTGAGACCTTGCTACAATTAAATAAGAAATACGTTGTTGGCTGTCTCTGAGCTATCGTCTTTTAGACATTGTGTACCATAATTTTTGGATGCTTTATAGGATTTTACAAAGCTACATGTAACAAAATAATAGCTATCTATTAAAATAAAGTAATAATTTTTACAAACATTGTGAAAAACTGTTAAGATGCACAAATGGCAAAAGGGAATTTTTATTTTTTATTGTTTTTGATATGTCTTATTTTATTTTTTCTTTAAGTATTGTTATTTTGAGTGTTTATGTGTGTGTGTTATCGTATGTAATAAATGATATGTCTATGTCTTATGTCAATTCCAATTTTCCAATATCTCATTTGGTACGTCACAATTTGAAAAGTAGCAGTGGAGCCTAAACGATATATGCACTTATTTGACGCGATAAGAACATAAATCTGCCACCTTCACAAGTGCTGAATCACGTTAATAAATTCCAGGAAACCGAATGACACCCCTCTTTGACGCGTTCAACGGAGCAATAGAAATATTGAGGGGATCAGAAATTTTGCGATAAACCTCCCCTTGCCCACAGCCTCTATTATTGAGAGCGTGTTACTGTACATTATAAAATTATAGCTATATTCAAAATCTAACATAATTAAAAGTAACCCAAAATTCTTATAGCTAAAGATACTGTTAAGTGATGTAAAGACCACATAAAATATTCTCTTTTGAAAGTTTTACCAGTTGCAACTTACATTGAAAACTGTGGGGATATCAGAGTCCTGCATTTATTAAAACTTTTAATCTTTTGTTAGGGACTACACAAAACAAAAACTTCAACTTAATATTTGTTGGTTCCATTTATTACTAAATTAAATAAAAATATAACAATACAAAAATAACTATAACGTTTAATGTAAGCTATATAATTCAAATAAAAAAACTAGTTCTTGGGATTCAAGAGCTTTCGTATCTTCAATTTTCGTCTCAGAGATCCTTGGATTAAAACTTAAAATCACTATATATAACATTTACTTATATATTTTTCAGATAAACATCTACAACGTCAGATATTCTTACAGTAGATATAAACTTTTCTGCAAATAGCGGGTTTATTGCGATAAACATTTTTTTCAGTGGTTCGTCGAAGTTTAAAAACAGAACAGGGCATGCGCGTTTGTCTATATTTTGTGAAACAGACATAAGGTTCGATGCTACTGTTGTATCAATATTAAGAAGATTTGTGCCGTCAATAATTATGAAGCTGTCTTGTGATGCGTTAAGAGCTGCTTTTAGAAGTATATTTCTAACATGTTCTGCAGCGCAATAAGAGAAATTATAGTTTAGTGGAACTACGATCAAATCTTTTGATGCTTTCATAGTGTAAAAGTCAAGGGTGGGTCGGGCTTTACCATATAAAATTATTGCGGCATCAAAAAATACTCCTGTCATTATACCATATTCTAGTCCTACACCTAAACATATGATTACAGTTGCAATTAAAACGAATAACTCACGCTTACTGTGTGTCCATAACCTCCCGAACATTTTATAGTCTATCATAGACAACATTGCTGTTATAATGAGACCCGCTAATGATGCTTTAGGTATATAATAGAAAGTAGAAGTTAATGTTGTTAGTGACAAAATAATTAACAGACAGTTGAAAATGCCTCCTGCAGGAGTCTGCACACCTGAAGCGTGGTTCAATGCGGTCTTTGTGAAAGAACCAGTAGTAGGCATGCTACTTACAAACGATGACGCAATATTGCATAATCCAAGTGCAATCATTTCTTGATTAGCATCAACTTGTAATCCTCCAGCGAAAGCTTTCGCTATGGCTACCGCCTCTAATATAGCTACTAGTGGTAAAACAAGTGATTGTGGTCCAAATGAGCTGAGCATATCATAGAAGTTATAAGTTTCATTACCAACTACAGCACTGAAAGGTGGAAGTTTGGGCACAGGGAGTCCGCCAGAAATATCACCAATTAATATCACAGGTTCATCATCTAGTATTTGCTTGATTATAAATGCTGCTAACATTCCAATAATTACAACAACGGCGTTTCTACTAAGAGATATATACCACCTGATTTTTTGTGAAGTGGTACCAGATAAAGAACATCCATGACCAACACGTTTTAGAATCACCAATACAAGTATTGTTCCGAAGCCAAGAATGGGATCCCAAAGCGTTGCAGTTTTTATATTCTGGACGAAACTCACAGCGGATTCAGCAAAAAATGTTCCTGATGAGCCGTCAAGACCGAAAAGTGACTTCAACTGTGAAGATGCTATCTGCAGCGCAGCCGCTGTTGTGAAACCACTGATCACTGGTGCGGATATAAATTCGACCAGAAATCCAAAATTAAAAACTCCCATTAATAACTCCACTATGCCAGCAAGAAACGCCGCCAGTACAGCAAATTCGGCTGAGTAGCCTCTTACGTATTTGCCAACCATTGCTGCCATAATCGCTGTTGGCCCTACTGTTACATCTTTACAGCTACCGAAGAACACATACACTAATCCACCCATTATTCCAGAGTATAGGCCGTATTCGGGTGACAGACCGGCGATAATAGCATACGCAATACCTTGAGGGATAGCCGTTAAGCCCACAGTTATTCCTGCTATAAAGTCTTGAATTAAGATACCAAAGCTGTATGTTGGGAGCCATTGTATAATTGGCAACTTTCTTTTCAATGTTTTGGTACTGCACACCATTTTGATTGACTTTTTAAATCTTCTTTTAATTCTCGCTTCATCCTGATAGTAAACTCCATCAAGCACAGTCATACTTTACAAGTACACTCACGAAACGGTACTGCGGACTGTGTACTAGAAGGATTATATTTAAAGTGCGGTTTTATCGAAGACCGTGTCAAAATACTTGTCGGAAACACTTTGCGAGAAGATAGCATTGTTTCCTTAAGAGAATATATCGCCGTATCATTCTTAATTTGATGGCTATCTATACCTTGCAATATATCGCCGTTCTATGCAGATATATCAGTACCTACTCTTGACCTCGAGAAATACATGTCATATCTGCAACATGTATGTTAAGATTTAATGGAAACAAGTAGTATATGTGGAAAATAACTTATACTTTTACGTTTTGTAACTATTTAGTTAGAAAATTAAAACATAGAAATGTTCACAAAGTAGAGAGAAGGGCAAAGACAAACAAGAAACTGAAAAGACAACTCAAGTCAATGCAGCAAAAGGCGTGAAATTTAAATAGTACAGAATGGTTTGATTATTCCATATATCAATCAATGATTATACAATTTCAAACAATTGACACTCAATCTAGGTAAAGTCCGATATACACTTAAATTTGCATTAATATTTATATCCTAATGTTTAAAAGTTGACGTATCAAACCGACATAACGAGGAAGTTGTTTTATATTATAGAGATAAACTATCAAATGTTAATAAATCAGTGCTTATCTGTCACAGGTAGATTGAAAGATTCGAGTACTTTAAGATTTTTATTTAATGGTTTTAAACTCATCTTGCACTTAAATGATTAATTACTTGAATTTTGTTAATGCGAGTATTTCTTTACATACATTCGTAACATTAATTTAAATCTGCTGTGGTTGTAATATCAATACTTCCCATATGCTTAAGCAATGGGATAGTAGGTTCGACCCCGACTTGAACAGATAAGGGTATGATGGAGATGTGCGTGACCACGCATGCACCGCCGACATTATGAGCCACAAACAAGCCGCAGAACTTCAAACAGAAACCGCTCTTATTACGTTACGTTTAGGTACTTCGTTTAGAAACATTTCTCTTACAAGGGTTTTTCCAAAACTTATGTTTAGACCCGAATTTGTTTGTTGCGAATAAGTTTGGATATGCCTGTCTGAAACTTATTGTAACAAACACGGACCTTTGCTGATGTGGAATTTTAAAGTGGG